AGACGACATTCTCACAAGCAAAAAGGGGGACTGCCATTTAACTGGAAAACAAGACTGCTTCCAGAGATGGGGTCATTTTGCTCAGCCGTCAGAAACCTATCTTCAAACCACAAGTTCCTGAAGCACCTCTTTACCCGCTCCCAAAAAGGACCATTTGCTAAATTCCGCTGCTCAATTGGACATCCCATCCAATGTCACAATTAGGAACCTGCATCTAAACATTGGCGTGAAGACCACTTTGTTCCTCTATGTAGGTTCACTCAAGAACTCAATGGGTCCCTCCTTGAATGACCGAATAAGTAATTAGTCGAAATTTGGCTAGCCCATCAAAGTAGCTCAAACAAATTTACTGTCTTTTCGCCCAGTGGTGACGCAACGGCATCAGTGGTCCCTTATTAAGGGATGCCTTCATAGAGTGGACACAAATGTGCTCATCTTAGAAAATACTTCAAAGACCCGAGGAGAAGCGGTTTATCCTATTCTGGGAACGAAGTTACAACACAATTAGGTTTCTTAAATAACTGAGATTGGTATATGTTGACGTCCGAGTTTTCAGAATAATAAATGAATTTTTAAAACCAGGATTTTAGACATTATAACATAGTCAACAGAAGAACTTAAACGTCAGTGTCAATACCTAAATGAAATTTGATTCCATCAAGCTCAACCAAGCTAAACTATTCCAACTATTTATTTTTCAGCAGTCAAAACAGCCGTCCAGCGTATTTTCAAAGTTTGAGAATATTCCAATGGAACCCTACGAAGTGTGCGTGTTCTCAGATGGGCCCTTCCAGGTAAATATGCCCCTATCATCCTAACCTTCACCAGTGGAATTTGCACAAACAGACTCGCTTTTCCACACTTCATTCAGATACTTGTCTTTTTGACTACGCAAGTTAATACATCTACTAACCAACTGCATCAACTTGGAATCCCTTTCCAAATTTCTAACAATGCTATATCGACAACTGACATTAATCAACTCTAGTGTATACCTTCACAATCCAGTATTTACCATTGGTTACGGAAACTTGTTTTGATCCAACGGAATTAAACGCCGTCATCTATTGTAATTCCAGACTTTTTTATACCTTGCTTGTATCGGCACAAACAGTGGTGTCAGAATCCACACATTTTGCAATCTACTGCGCTGCCCCCTACATGATCAAGTCGATGATCAGTAGGTTTCAACAAGCATGAGGACTGGGGGGCGCATCTTGGGTATACAATATTGTTCGACATAAGATGAAAGCAATTTTTCAAGCAGGGGTTTCTCCTATCCAATTTGTCAGAGTGATAAGCATTTGGAACTGCAACTTGCTTCGAAATTTTTTGCGATTTTAGAGAAATTCGTTTGGTTTATTTTATTGGACGGCTTTCCAGACGCTGAAATATAGTTGGATGATGCATGTTTTAACCGTAGTGGGCAGATTCTAGCGTTCAGATTTGGGGGGTGTAGAGGCCCTTGAATAATAATTTCCAGGCGCCAATGACACATCCAGTTGTCCTTAGCAGTAAAAAACGTCTTGTTCTAGGTACCCCATGCTGGAAGCTCCAATTGTGGTCTGAACACACACGGTGTGCGGTGGGTTTCCCTAGTGTACCTAGCATGAAGCAACAGCCTGTTTGGTGGCGTAAACTGACTTCGCTCAGAGGTGCGGCCATGTGAACACAAAAGCTTCAATCCAGCTACTAGTGCTACATTCCTTGTAGACGCCTTATCCTTCAACAACTTTGATTGTATTCCCACCATGGTTGATAATTCCTCGGCAATTATACAACCAATGAATGAAGTGAATGTGTGGATTTCATAGGCAACTCTTTCTAGTTCATCCTTTTCTCATGGGAAGGAGCATGGCCGATTGAATTAAAACGCAAAGGCTGTTTGTCTGGAAAAAAGTCCGTGTTACTTTTACACTTCTATAGCAGACTGTCCCTTATTATGATTGTTGGTAATGAGAGGGCTCGCTGTTTTCAGTCAGCGCCTCCCTGTAGAATTTTCATCAGGGTTGCACTTTGTAAAAACGAAGTCCTATTAAATGTAATCCGACAGCTTGTTGAAACCATCAGAACTGACCACGAATTCAAGATTTCAGCACATGGTTTTTGGCTTCTTCCCTAGGTTTGAACCGATATCAAATGGTGCGCTAACGTTGAATACTTTTACCGAATACATAATGTGGCTCTACTAAGCTAGAGAACGGGGAAACCAAAAGGGATTCGATATACGCTTCACTCTTCAAAGCGCCTACCTACTGCGCCGTCAAACTGCTCCGTTGCATTCACATAACAGCGGAACACCAGGGGTCATGAAATATTTCGCATGTGGCGCCGTCGAGCGTGGCAGCTGTATTTTTTCACCTCCCAAAAATCACACTAAGAAACCCTGCTCACACTTACGTCTTAGTTGATATTGGCTGCAAAATAACATTTGAGACTAATAGCCAAAAAGAAAATGACACTGTTCGAAAACTTGACTAACGTTGAGTTATATTGGCTCAGTGGTTCGGAAAACCCCAATGTCCCGAGTAAATGGATCTCTTTTGTAACCCGTACAGGTATACAACATTAGCATTCAAACGTGGTTCCTTTTTAACTAACTGTTTTTTGCTCAAGTTATATTTCCAAAGTCACGCATCCAAGTTAACGATTTAAGTTAGTTTGTGTCATCCGGACTACACGTGTTAGTCTCCTACTAAAATCAGTAAATTTCAAGTTTTCGTTGGAAAGTTCATGTTACCATGATTCATTTTGCAAAATTCCTCTGCCCGTTATAATAAAATTATAGACCAGTCCAGGTGCGTTATCGACACAAAAACAAGATTCCATCAAAATTCCAAGATCGTGAGTGATCGTGGGGTAGCAACATCATTGTTCACACTTGAATAAATGGGAAAACTTTGAAATTTTCCATCAAAATATTCCATTTATGTTTGAATGTGTTTTCACTGTTGCATCACAAATTACGTAAGAATTTAAAGAATGCACTTCTGACTGACAAATGTGGCCCACATGACTGTGTATTTGTCATAAATGAGAAAATCATCGCAAATTTTGCTGCTATCCCAGGTTTAAAAGTTGTTTACTTATGCAGACCAGGTAATGTGGATTGCGTAGTTTTCTGGCAAACTTCCGGAACATACAATCATGCCACTATGGTGTTGAGCAAAGTAACAAAATCATGATACAGATGCATCTAACTCCCCAATCGAGAGAAAGTGTGGCAATAATCTCCATTTCTACGGTGGAAAGGCAAGACAAGTCAGAAGGATTAGGTGTTGACTACCAGCTGCCAAGTAGCCCCAGATTGCGTTACGTGAAAAAGGTACGATGTTATCGACTAGGGATGGCTAATGTGGGGGTCTGTGCACATACAGTCGTCTATTATGTTGCACCTAGAAAAGATTTATGATGCTGGTGATTTATGATGATGATGGGTTCTCAAATGAACCATTTTAGGAAGCCTTTGAACCCAAATAACAAGTCTGTCAACATTTGGATGATACGATCCAATGGGGTGAAGTCAGCTGAATATCTCCTCGACTAGACTAGCATCCACAGCGGCGTCAGTGGACTGTGAGAGCACTCAAGAAGCTAAGTTCTAAAGTTCACTGAAACTTTTGCATCTCCATGATGATAGCGACAAATGGTCATCTTGTTTGGGCACAATAATTTTTTGGCTCTCCACTCCGATGTTCTGCAGTTCCTCGGCGTTTTTGACGCTATCATACAGCGTATTATCCGCAGTAACGTCAAACCGTCTCCACGTTTCCGTATATTTGGCCTATTTAGCAGCGCATCGTGAGAGTTCTATTCGGATCGTGGACCTTCAAAAAGCACACTCAGGTGCTAATATGTGTATTTATGTGATAACAGCATCATGCGTGACACTGATTCTTCACCGACACAAACACAAACCTTAGCCATAGGCCGGGAAATAGAGGACGGAGTCGTGGAGAGAGAGGACCTGGTTCTGACAGGCACTCTGAAGTGCCTACAAATCCAAATGCTCAATCGGACTGTCTAAAATGAGGCTGACAGTACGGGTTCCACTGACATCGATCATCTGCGAGTTGTTGCAAGCGCCGGTTAGTCACGGGGACACCTCACTCTAAGGGGGCCGCATCAATAGCACTTAACTCTTCGTTGCATCTTTAGCACCCTTCTGACAATTCATGAGTTGTCCACGTCGCAGTTTGCGCCATTCTGAGTGAGGAACGCCAAAATCACTCAGTGGACAACGATTAGGCATGCGTTGCACATGGCTGAGCCACCGTAGTTCACCTTGGTTCATATTTTCCGCGGCTGAAGTACCCACCGCACAGCCAACTACCTGATTTTACTTATCTCGAACTCGTTGGTGCTTTCTGAATCCAGTAATGCTTTTGAGGCATCTCTGGTCACAAACCGGTTAATGCTGTTTGCTGAAGCTAATTATTGCAACCTTAGAACAATATAGCTCGTACTATAACACGGCATTCGTAACTCATGAAATCCGATGAAAATGATAACACTTTGACAACACGATTGACGATAATTGGCAAAAAGGGTTTGACATTCGTGCACTAAATTCATGAAGCACACCTGTGTGAGAATTAATAATGATATTATTGCCAATACTATTGATGGTGCTGACAACTCCAGTGCTCCTTCTTGATTTCCAGTGAAAATGTTCAGAGACTGCATGTTATTAAACGTGAATTTGCACATTGATGGTCCATAAAAAACACCGACAAACGGCAGAATAATTTTGTCGATGCTATTCTCCTATTCATATTGTGTACGCTCGCCTTCTGTTGTTTCGGTTTCGCGTCCACACCGCCTTTCAAGTTTATGACCTGAACGTAAAACACCCTTTAACCTTGTCGTCGCGCCTGTTGTTTAAGCTTATTCGTGGGTTCGGCTAACTCGTCGCAAGTTTGCCTTGACTTGGTGCGGACTTTGGGATCCCGATGGTAATCAGCAGATCCCAAACAGGTGTATAGAAGCCGGTGCAGTCTCACAATTTGAGGTTGGTACAATTCTGTTATTTTATTATAGTATTCGAAGTATCAGGTTCGTTGATAAACGTCCATTCAAACGATTTGACTTTATGCGATTTACGTGTAACTCAACGTTGACCAACCGACAGCTCTGTAAGGTCAGTATTTTTCACAGCATGGCTTGAGATCCATACTCTTGTTTAATTAACGTCATGGCACTGTCTGTGCCCACCCTATCTACCAATTTCCCACCAAAAGCGCCCGAGTTTTGGAGGACTACTTGTTTTCACCATCATCACATCGACGAAGAATTTCAATCGGAGACGACAGAGTAGATATTTCTGTCGAACACCAGTTATTGTGAGGGAATATCAAGAGAGATCTCCATACACTCTCACGACACCAGAATACTGTGGATATGGGCGCCGGATTATGTTCACAAATTTCTGAACCATTCCCTACTGAGCAACTGGGGTTGACAGAGTTGAGTAACTGGGAGAATCGGAGGCACCTTGGGAACCAAGGTACACACAAGATTGTGGGTCGGCTGTCCATTCGGGGTTTTCCGACTACCTGAGGGAGACTGAATATGTGGTCGACTCAGCCTCTACCCGGTTGACATCCCGCTTGTTGCTCACCGGTCAAGGATTTGCGCTCCGCCGTGAAACTACTAAACGATGACCTCCGTGGCTGTATTCTCAACTCGGACGAGATAGCCAACCTTGTTCCCTTACTTCTAATGGTTTGGGTGACCATCACCAGGGAAATTCCACGAATGACAATGTGTCGGCCACGATCAGTAAACTACAAGT